CGAGCGCCCCCCCCCCCCCCCCCCCCCCCCCCCCCCCCCCCCCCCCCCTCCCTGTGCAGGGTGGTGGGGTGGCCTGGCCTGTGGCCACCTGCCTAGGACAGCGTGTGCAGGAGGGGCTGGCATGCTTGTGTGTGTGGGCAGCGACACAGGGTGACAGTGGTAGGCGCAGCTGCCATCACATCCCTGTGATGGTCTTAGAAACGGAAAGCAGCAGCCCCAGGTCAGGGCTCTGCCGTGCAGGCTGTGGCCACGCAGGCTCGGGTCCAAGCCCTGGGCTAGGGTGCCGGTGTCAGGCAGGCCGTCGGGAAAGCGAATGGAAACAGACCAGGCCCAGTCCATACATGCTTCTTTTACAAGGGGAACAATTCAGAAGGGCTTGTCAGCAGCTTTTTAACAGAGTCCACTGGTTCACAGGCAGCGGTGGGCGGGGCGGCTAGCCGGGTGCAGCTCATGCCCTGACACGGTTCCTACCTGGCACCCCCGACAGCTCCTTGCACGTCCCTCACGTCATGGTCGGGAGCTGCCTGAGGGCACAGAGACGGAGTCAGCCTCCACCTGTCACCACAGCCCCGGCCCACGCGTGCTGTCTCCACCCTTCGCTCAAGAGCACGTCTGGGGCTCTCACGTGTGTCTGCCTGAGCCCTTCTATGCGCCACCTTGCGCGTCTACTCGGGCAGGCTGTGGCCGGCAGAGCTGCCATGAGCCAAGGCAGCCCTGGTGCCACCCTTAACCATCTGAGTGAGAGAGGACTAGGGCACCTGCTCTCACTGGCGGAGGAGCAGAGATCCGAGGGTGCTGTTGGGCTGAGCAAGGGCTGTGACCCACTAGTACGGCATGGCCATGGCCCCGCAGTAGCCCGCGAGGCAGTGGACACAAGCCAATGTCCCGGGGCCCTCTGGGCTGCCTTTCCCAGGCGAGTCACCTAGTTTCCCCACCCAAGGGGAGCGGCAGTCAACAGACCTCAGTCTTGGGCCTGCCTGAGAGCCTCGCTCAGGCCACGCCAAGTGCAGCCAGCGCTCGGAGCATGACGTCCCAGTTGCACGGGGGCATTACCTGGCCCGCAGGGAGGGACTCCAGGGAGTCGGAGCAGTCCTGGGCAAGGGGCCGGTCCTCAGGAGTCAGACTGTCACTGGATGAGAGGCTGCTGGCCAGGGTCTCCTCCTGTACGAACATGATCCCTAGAGACCGGGCAAGGTGGGCGAGAGAAAAGCCTTTCAGCCACACCGAGTACATGACAGCACAGCCTGCGAACAAGGCGGCAACAGGGTGCCTGGCCACCCAGCTGGTGCTGGCAAGGCTCACGGCGTGGCACGTGGGTGAAAGAAGCAACAGAACTGAGGCCAAGTCACACACGACGGAGAAGAGCACCCTGCAGATTTCAACCGAAGGTTATCTTTAAAGGATGCTCCTACAGACTCCAAAAAAGTGTGTGTGTGTGTGTGTGGTGGGGGGCTGGAGTCCCTCTGCAAGGAGGCTGTGCTGTGGGCACCAACACCCCAGAGGCCAGTGCGGAGGGAAACATTCATATCTGGAGCCACTAAGGAGACTCGCATGTGGGCTGAGACCAGAGTGCGTGGCCTGAGGAGGGAGGGGGCTGCTAGGAGGGCAGTGGGGTGACACATCCGCCAAACGTGTTCAGCCACCTGCCTGGCATCTCTGCGTCCTTTGCAGCCCTGAGAGCCAGCAAGGCGCCCTGCCCCCAGAGGCTGGCCCTTCCTGTGGGCCTCGGCTTCCTCCCGGGCCTGCTTCCCCTGGGCCTGCCCCACAGCTGCAGTCATACACCCCGGAAACACATGGTGCTTTGGCACCTCTGGGGCTGCTGCCTCACCGGGGATGATTTCCAGGGTGGCGGGGGTGGGGTGAAGGCTGGCGTTAACTAATGTGCAGTTGGAGTTCCCCGGGGCGCCAGCCCATGTGGCAAAGGGCTTGTCCCTACAGCAGCTTTGCTGACAGGCACCACCACGACCAATGAAGAGTCTGAGCCCCTCTTCTGTCCTGCTGCTGCCAGAGGCAGGGCAGCTCAGTGCCAGCCCTCAGCCCTAGCCAGGCTTGCAGACGGCTTGGCTTGACACCCATGCGGCTTGGCAGCAGGGGTGGTTGAGCAGCAAGCACAGAGCACCCACTGGGCTCCCCGATGCTGCTCTCGGGGCTCCCAGGCGCTGTCTCCTGACTCCGCCCCCTTGTGTGTCCCGGACACAGCATGTCTGTTCGACAGCCTCGCCTCACTGTCGGCGTTCCTTGCTGGACCCTGCTGACCGCCCAGTCTCAAAGCAACACCCCCCCCACCCCCACAGAGGATGCAGACGAGGCCACTCTGAGGCAGTCACAGGCCAAGCTACGTGTGTCCAAGAGTCCTTTCATGGCCACATTCCATCCGGGCTGAGATGCTGAGCCGGGGCACCACAGAAATGTCTGGAAGGTTTTCACTCAACCGTGGGCCGACAGCAAGGAAGTGCTGCTGCTGACGTTAGCACATGAAGTCCCATTTATCTGCGTGCATCCACGTCAACGAAGCAGGGTGTACGCACTCGGGGCTTGCGAGAGGCGGCAGCTGGCCTGGGGGCACGTGGCTGACACACCTGGAACTTGGTTGAGAGACCTTGGTACCCGCGCAGCGCGCATGTGCGACACACACACACACACGGCATCCTCTCTGCCTGGCTGGCTGGAGACTGTCTCTACCACCCTCACTGCCAGCTCGGAGAGCAGCTCCTGAGACGAACCAGAGGCCTGGAGCTAACTCTACAGGACCGTCACTCCCAAGTGTGCTAACAGCCCACAGAACCGGGAGCTCACTGCCCACAAAACGGGGGAGCTCACTGCCCACAGAGCTGGGGTGCTCACTGCCTACAGAACTGAGGAGCTCACTGCCCACAGAGCTGGGCGGGGACAACAGCAGCGTGGGCAATGTCCCCCCCCCCATGGGCGAATCCCAGGCCGCCAGGCGCACTCACCATGGTGACCTCAGTAAGGAAAGCCCCGACGTTCAGGGAGGTGAGGAAGGACGGACAGGGACGGCCTGCCAGCTTTGTACGAGCTTTACTGAGAAGGGCCACCCGAGGGCAGCAGGGACCGGCCTGTCTCTCACACGAAGGAAAGAGATGCACACAGACAGCCATGAAGTTTATTTGTGCAGCTGGAGACAGCGCGGGTCCAGTGACCGGGAAGGGGGCCACTTGACCACCGTCAGGGTGCCAGGCACGAGGGTGAATGGAAGCGGGGTGGGAAGGGTGCTGGCCTGGCTGGATGCCTCACTCAACCTGCCTGCCGCGAGGCCCACTCTCGGCTACTGGGCTTGCCTGTGCTCCCCGAATGTCGACTGAGACCTGCCGTGTCCTGTCTCTGACAGCAGCGTGAATCTCTTGGTCCCCATAAGCCTACCATCCAATGGGATCCAGGGCCCTCCCTGGTCAGTGACCCTTCAGGCAGGAAAGCGCAAAGGATGCAGCCCTGGGAAAGGCCAGTCCCCCCAGGGGCCGGGAGACGCCACAGTGATCCGCAGCCCTTCCGGGAAGACAAACCAACCCAGTCCCAACCAGCCAGCCGTGGGTTCCTCGCCCACAGCCCACGCTGGCACCCTCTTCAGCAGCCCCAGGCCGGCCCTGCAGCTCTGCTCACGCCTCTGCCTGCAGGCCGGTCCCCTCCCACCCCCCACGGCATCACCAACAGCACTGAGAGGAAGCCCACTGTGGGGTTACCAGGCCAAGGGCTGGAACTGTTTCTCTGGCTCTTGGAACAGGTCACTCTCCCCAGGACCTCACACCAAGTTCCGCGTCTCCAGGAGCCTGGCGGGCGGGGAGTGCCCTCCTCCGTGGGGGCCAGGCCGGCGGACTCCCCAGGCCCGATTCACTCACTCAGCTCCGAGGTGCCTGGTTTGGAGCGAAGGCTCTGAAAACTGGGAGCCAGGAACAGACACCCTCCTGGGCCCGACCAAGAGTCACCGTGGAGGTGAGCCAAGACCACGGAGAGCACTTTGCTGTCACAAGAAAGGAGCTGGCAGCCCTGCCTGTCCCACAGACCCCCACGGGGCCCCATAAAACCTCAAGTGGGGGTCGGAACAATCGGGGTGCTCCCTAAGTCAATGCAGAGCCAGCATCAGGCCAGCCCTGCCCCCCAGCCCCTGCAGGGTCCAGCAACAACTCCTCTCCCCCAGCCCCTGCAGGGTCCAGCAACAACTCCCCTCCCCCAGCCCC